GCTCAGCCCAATAGTACATGCTCCAATGTCATTTTCTTACAGCTCCATTTACTCTCACCTCTGCCCTCCACTGAGTACCTCACAGCCACGCTCAGCTATTAATCCATGATAATGAAACATTTCTGTCTTTTCTGGAAGGAAGCCCATTTCCAGCACAACTCCCTCCATGGTATTTCATGATGTACCTGCCTGGAAAATGCTTTAGCTGTTGTACACTTAATTCTTTCTTCCCTGAATGGTAGTTATTTTTATGTATAACCCTCAGCTAGGTTATGCATTCTTTCAGAAGAATGAGGGTCTCAACATCTTTGCTCCCAGGAGAGCATCTTGAATACAGTAAAAACCAAAACCACTGCCTTCAAGTCAGTTCTGACTCATAGCAACCCTACAGGACAGAGTAGAACTGCCCCATAGTGTCTGCACGGAGCGGCTGGTGAAATTTGAACTGCTGACCTTTTGGTTAGCAGCCAAGCTCTTAACCATAGCACCACCAGGGCTCCCTGCACACAGTAGGTACTCAATAAACACCTGGTGAATAACTTTGAAAGCATTAATTTAGTAAATGATTAACTTTTGAAGGTGATGTTTTTCACCCTAAACTAAAAGGCTTCACTTTGCAAAACTAACTTAGTATTCAAATTTTCATGGCATGCTTTAACATGCATTGGGAAGTACAGTGAAGGCCAAAAACCAAAGGATTGACAATTTTGGTTTCCAAAAGTGGAACAAAATTATCTCAAAAAATTTCACATGCATGTGAGGCTGCAATATTCTTCACCTAGGAAACCAGTGCTATAAACTGTATGACCCAGTGTGAGTAACCCACGGCTGTGGAGTCGATTCTGACTCATAGCGACCCTACAGGACAGAGCAGAACTGCCCCATGGGGTTTCCAAGGAGCAGCTGATGGATTCAAACTGCCAACCTTTTGGTCAGCAACCGTAGCCTCTTAACCACTGTGCCACCAGGGCTCCTGGTGTGAGCAGGCCGGCACTATTTATATTTTTTGTGTCATCTCCCTACTACTCCTTTTACATAGAAATGACATACACCTGAAGAGATTCTGAATAGGGTACACTCAGGGGCATTGGCACTAAATTTTTTGAGCAAGGTTGACTGGCTATTATATGGTCCCTGGGTGGTGCAAAAGGTTAAGCACTCGACTACTAGCCAAAAGGTTGGTGGTTTGAACCTACCCAGAGGCACCTTGGAAGACAGGCCTAGTGACCTACTTCTACAAGGCCACAGCCTTAAAAACCCTACTGGAGTGCAGTTCTACTCTGTACGCACGTGGTCACCACGAGTGGGCATCAACTTGATGGCAACTAACAACAAGGACAACTGGTTACTGTGAGTACTCAACTCCAAGATCATAGTCTCAGTAGCTCAGTCAAGTATTGCTAGCCCAGTCCATCTTTGTCAGGATACAGTTTTCATGTGTTAAATTCCAGAAGGCTACAGGACATAAATGGAAAAATCTTGACAACGAATCAATTTGAATAGAAAGTCAAAATTAAGGAGGAGTTTGGGGATATATAGGCACACTGGCAGAGGCTAAAATTATGGATCCCCAGAGAGGAGATCAGAGTTTAGGACTGTGCCTGCGGAATCCTCACATTTAATCTACAGGGTGAGCAATTTCTGAAGAGGAGCCATGGGAAACCAAACATTTTAAAACCAAAAAACCAAACCCGTTGCCGTCGAGTCAATTCCGACTCATAGCGACCCTACAGGACAGAGGAAAACTGCCCCACAGAGTTCACAGAGCTTCCAAGGAGTGCCTGGTGGATTTGAACTGCCGACCTTTTGGTTAGCAGCCGTAGCACTTAACCACTACACCACCAGGGTTTCCAAACATTTTAAAGGAATCGGAAAATTAGAGGGGAACTGAGAAAGCCAGGACCAAAGGGGCTTCAAAAGTGTTTGCTTAGTTCCCACCTGTACATCTACTCAATGTGGGCATTCTACTATTTAGGATACTGTCTTCTCTCTTAAAACATATAATCCAATATCTTTAAGCAATCTGGAAGGGTAAGAGACATGCTCCAGTGTGGTTTCTTGTTTCTCCAAGGTCACTAGCTTCATCGCAACACTTCGCTCCTTTTGGGGGGAAGTAGACATTCAGGTAGAAAAGGCAGTGGAGGCCTTAGATTGAAACCTATAAAGATGTTTGGCCATAAAAGTGAAAAGCAAACTGAAATGGCCTTTGGAAGCAATGCTGCTGTACCTAGGTAAGAGTCCTAGATGTGTTTCAGGCAGAGCTTCAAACCGGTTCATTTAGCTTTGACCTCCTGCTGAGACTTTGCATTTCTAACAAGTTCCCAGGTAATGCTAATGCTGCTGATTAGGGACCTATTCTGAGAACCACTAGTACAGCAGGGGTTCTCAAAATTTATTATACATAAGAATCACCTGGGAATCTTGTTAAACTGTAAATTCTGATTCAGTATCTCTGGAGTAGAAATCCAAATTCTAAGCAGAGGGTCGGACCTGACACGAATCAGTTTGAAACCCTGGTTTCAGGGGAAAGAAGCCAGAGGAAAAGAAAAGAAGAATGGACTGGATACTTCTGCAAGACTGGGATCCCTCCTGGGATGGGGAGTCAAAAGCGGTTTAAGCCTGTGAGAGAGAGTTCACCTTTGCAAGAGATGAGCTGTCTTCTCTACAGAGCCTTGATGAAGAGCTCCATCGATGGTTCCCGGCCATGGCTGTGAATTAGAATCTCCAGGGGAGCTTATTAAAAAAAAAAAAAACTATCTGGCTCTGGGTGCATCCCCAAAGACTCTTATTTAATTAGTCTGGGGCTGGCAACTGTATTTTTAAAAGCCACTTAAGTGACTAGGTACAGAGAGAGTTGAGAATCAACCACTAGGCAAGATCAAAAAGAGATACGTGCATCCAAGGGAAGAGAAAGTTGAACAAGTCACCTTTCACTTTTTTGTCTCAGAATTAGGCAGTGTTACCAAGAGTGTGATACCACCACAGGTGACTCTTGATTGGATGGCACGTGGCTAAGCCTTCTTCTTTCATATAGCTATAAAAACCAAACCCACTGCCCCTGAGTCAGTTCTGACTCACAGCAACCCTATAGGACAGAGTAGAACTGCCCCATAGATGTTTCCAAGGAGTGGCTGCTGGATTCAAACTGCTGGCCTTTTGGTTAGCAGCTGTAGCACGCTGTAGCTCTTAACCACAGCGCCACCAGGGCTCCACATATATCTACATCTAGGTGTAAATACAGATAGATATAATATGGATATACAGATACAAATGTAAATACATATAAGTATATATATTTAAATAAGTACTAAAAAATATAACCGGCATATCTAATTTGAGACTTCATGTGTATTAACGCTTAGAATGAGGCTAAGGTGGGTACTGTAGTTTAGAGTCTATTTAAGCAAACATTATGTAAATTCTAGTCCAGGTGGAATGCGGATATGGCAGACACTTTTATAAAACAGGTATGCAAACAACTAGAGTTTAGGGAACACAGGACTAATGTAGCCTCCATTGCCACTGCTGTCTGACTCATAGTGACCCTACAGGACAGAGTAGAACTGCCCCATAGGGTTTCCAAAGAGTGGCCAGTGGATTCAAACTCTTAAAATCTTTCATCACAGATCTTTCTGTTTTCTTAACTTGTCTCCCTCCCCACAGCAGCTCAGCCAGCCCAATGACATCCTCCCTGCTGCTCACTTACCTGGATGTCATCAGAAGCACTTAGATGCTTCTGATCTGGGCTCAAACTCAAAGCAGCCTTTCCTAGACTCAGTCAGGATCCCATTACTGATGGCTTAGCCTGTTTAACTCACGTGTGTCTCCTTTTCCAGATTCAAATCTGAGCTAAACTTAACTTAGGGTGCCTTGGCCATCTGAGCATAATAGGGCAAGAAACCAATGCTCACAAGGTGTTCCAGCCCCACAACACAAAAGTAAAACTGAAGCGACCCAAATCCAGGTAATGCAAACTAAAAGGACGGGGTGAAAGGAAAGATGAAATCCCTAAACCAAGCAAACAAAACCAGCCTGCAGGAAAGGCAGACTTGCTAAAATTTCACTCTTTATTTGCCATTCTCGAGGCATGATGCAAGCTCGTTGCCCAATTTATGTTTGCACATTTCCCCCTTGTCCACAATAAGCTTCAAAAGCGGCCAACTCTAGAAAATTACTTTTAAAAAAGTTCAAGTCTCGGGTCTAAAGAGGTTGTCTGATGGCCTTGAATGACCCCACCCTTTCCTGGGCAAAACAAAGTGCGCTTAGACTAGGAAAAGAGAATGTGCAAAGGCGGGCAGAGAGGAACGTGACAGCCCTTTTTACACCTTTCCCCCACCATTCTCATGCCCACTTAGTTTGGAAACTAACAAGGGCACCGTACATACCTCACCTTTCTCCCTGCCCTGCGTCCTGAACCCTGCTAGTCTCCCTAATCCAAACGGCACTAAAAATAGCAAGGATAAAAATTAAAAAGAAGACAGCCCTCTCTTTCCTCTTCTTGGTGCTTCTCGTTCCCTCTATCCAATCCTGGCAGGCCCTGGTCACCCAGTCATCACTACACCTTTTCACCACCCAACAAAATGGCAGTTTAGCAACAGGCGAGGCCGAGACCGCCTGCTCTGACTCTAGCCAAGCGCAGCTCCTAGCCAAGCAGCCGGGGGTCTCTGACGGCGTCCCCAAGTCCAAATATCCCTCTTCCCTACAAGCCCCCAATCCTCGGCCCCACTGGGCCGCCTACTCGCTATTTCAGGACCATTCCTGCCAGCGGCGAGGGAGCAGGTGCCAGCGTAACAGGTGCCAGGCGAGAGGGCCCTCGCGACTGCGCCGCCGCCAGGTTCCGGCTGCGCTGGACACGGCGAGGACCTGGGGAGGGGACGCAAGGAAGGCCACATGGAGGGGAGGGAAGCTGGGGGAGGCAGAAGGAGACAGCCAGGACACAAGGATGCCGCTGCCTGTCCCCGCACCCCCGGTGCGCCCCGCGCAGAGGCTGTCCCACTTACAATCTCCAGGCAGACGAAGGCGCCCGAGTAGGTTCGCAGGATGTCAAGGCCGGCGGGCAGGGTGACCCGGGGCGCAGGGAAGGACACGGCGGGATTCGGAGGCGGCGGGACTGCCGCTCCGCCGGCTGACATGCTGCCGCTACCACTGCTCCGTCTCCGCGCGC